ATAAAAAATAAAATTTGATTTTTTTCGAAAAAAAATCAAGTGTTTTTCGAAAATAAAAAAGACGATCTTTGTTAAAAAAATTTAAAAATATATTTTTTCTAAAACGAAAAAAATCGGTTTTTTCTGAAAAAAAATTGCTATTTTCAAAGAAAAAACTAGTCGGTTTTTTCTGAAAATGACAAAAAATAGGTTGATGTTTTTTAAAATAAAAAAAAAAAGTCGATTTTTTTCAAAATGAAAAAAAAAAATCTGTTTTTTTGAAAATAAAAAAATTGATTTTTTTTCTGAAAATAAAAAGTTGATTTTTTCGAGAATGAAAAAACTCTATTTTTTTGAAAAAAAAGGTTTTTTTCCAAATAAATTAAAATTCCTATTTTTGTAAATAAAAAAAAATCTTTTTTATTTCAAAAAAAAAGTAAATTTTTTTCGAAAATAAAATGGATTTTTTCTGGAAAAAATGTTATTTTTTGAAAAATAAAAAATTGATTTTTTCTAAAAATTTAAAAGTCGATTTTTTTCGAAAATTCAAAATAACGGATTTTCAAAAGTTAAAGTAGTCCAGTTTTTTTGAAAATAAAAAACATCGATTTTTTTGAAAAAATAATTGTAATAAAAAGGTTTTTTTTCCCAAAATAAAATTAAAAAGTTGATTTTTTCGATGGTAAAAAATAGTTGATTTTTTTGGAAAATGAAAAGGAAATTTTTTTTCGAAAATAAAATTATTTTTTCTAAAATAATTAAAAAAGTCTTTTTTTTCATTAATAAAAAAATATATGATTATATTTTTCAAAAAAGTCATCTTTTTTAAAATGTGCCTTGAGACCCTTCTTGAGTTTTTTTTGGCCTTTAGTTTAGAGAGTTTCTTAAAGCACCCTATGTGTTTCTTAGACACCATGCGAATTTCCTATAATGCTCCTAGTTTATGGAGATATATCTCTGGACCCACCATATTTTAACTAAACATTAAGATATTCCGAAAATATATCTCCGGACACACCAAAAATCAATTGAACGTTGAAATATTCCGGATATATATCTCCTGAACAATTTGGAGCATATTTTCGCGTCAGACTCTACTCCTCCCACACTTTTCATTTCTATTCACAAACCTTTTCATCTCTCTCATGCCCAAATTTTCCAAACTTCAACAAATTTGATTTCTTCCGTCCGAGGCTCAAGTAATCATCAAGCTGCATCCAGTGCATCATTCAACATCTTCCGAATCATATAATTCGGGTAAGTTTTTCGAGTTTCCAATAAATATTTGAGTTTTGTTGTACACGAGTTAGAATCCATTGTTAGGTGTCAAAATGTTTAGAAATTTGATGAAACATAGTTTATAGTAACTGCGTGTATTGTTTGTTGGCTCAAATGGACGATCAGGGCTTCAAATTTGTGATTATTAGGGGCAGAGAACATCATTGGTGCAACCTCCGAGTTGTAGAATGTTCCGGAGATACATCTGCGGAATGTTTCTGTAGTTGTATCTCTGGAGTCACCCAGAGTACATGAGACGTTGAATGTTTCTGGAGATGTATCTCTGGAATTTCTAAGTCTGTTTTTTTTCTTTTTTATAATTTTTCTTATTAAGTAAACTCATTGTACGATTAATTATATTATATCTTGCAGACATAAAGGCTGACATAACCGATCGATTGAGGCATGGACGGGTTGCCCAGCACGCGTCTATTAGACGAGAGCGGAGACATCCGGGTCTGAATGCAGTAGGTACCTATGGTCAGGGAGAGGCATCGACTGCTGGTGTACAGTCTACTCCTAAGGCTCAGTTCACTCCTGTGGTTCAGTCTTCACCTCAGGCCACTCCATTTACATCTCAGGCCAATCCAGCTACATCTCAGGCCACTCCATCTACGTCTCATCCCATTCCACCTTCTTCATCTTCCCGCAGACCACTGATGCACCAGCTAATGCTTCACTTCCTTCATTCTCCCGCAGGCGATGTGATGCACCTGTGCCACCTTCTGTTGATCTGGTACCACCTTTTGTTCACTTGGTCGCACCTGTTTATCGGGATGCATCGGTGCCACCTCCGGAGAGTAATGTTAATGAAGTCGAGCCAGAGGCTTTCGGAGGAGATCCATCTGATATGTCTATACTTCCTTTGTACCCAGACCACACTGTCGGACATATCTGGGACGAAGATAGAGACTTCTCCATTATGGTAGGATGACAAAAAAACAAGGCGGTCGATATGATAGTGGAGCACCTGGGGTCTGATCCAATGAAGGTGCTGAGGGAGGTGGATAGAAGTATGGGTGCTCATGTTAGGTTTATGTTTTTGAAGGAGAGGTTTGATTAGGCGCTCGCTCATGTAGCACAGACTGATGGTGATGCCCAAGAGGTGGAGATCCACATGAGTCATGCTTTAAGGTGTTATTTTCTATTTTTAGTTGGCATTTTGCTTTTTGTAGACACAAGTGCCACCTATATTGACGTTGCATACTTCTGGTACTTCTTGGATATAACACGGATCCATGAGTACAACTCAGGGGTGGTTTGTTTGGCATATCCATATTAGAAGCTGAGAGATGAATGTCGGTAGACGATGACGGGGCATACCACAGGCAGCACGACTCTACTGGTGGTAATAATTTTGTATCCTCGATTCATTTTTATCTTTTTCATTTCATATTTGCGATAATTCTTGATCCCTGAATGCTTTTTTATTTTCATTTCAGGCTTGAATTCTCCAGCACTTGCTACACATTGTTGTTTGATCTGTTGGGATGAGTACACTAAGAAGATGCCCTGTGAATGTGCTTTTGTCCCGCTGAGAGGGAACCAGGCGTTCGAGCCTTTCAGAGTCTATCTTGACTGCTTGGTTGCTGAGGACATCCACTTCTCCTGCTTGGTTTCTGATCTGCTCGTTGACGGTCACTGCTCCTCATCTTCCCAAGCGTGGCATGCGGTAGTTTGGGTACACCCAAACCATGTCTAGACACCATGATGTCTCTGCACCTCCGACCTTGACTTGTATACAGATATAGGAGATGTTTGTTAATCATCAGAGTCATCTGGTACCGGATGAGGGTCAGGATACCATAGTTTCGAATGATTGGAGTTACGTCGACAAATACATCAAGTGGTTCTTCAAGGTCTCACATCCGTACATGGTGACGGCTGCTCCAAGAAATCCGTCGAGACCCGTTCATCAGGAGATTCTAAAGGAGCAGCAGCCTTAGATGGTTCATACTGAGAATGTCTTGCCTTGTTGTCATCGCATAATGGAGATGGCATGGGAAGGTATTGACGAGGGTATCTTCCCTGAGGGATCTACTGACCGACGAGTACTAGATGACATATTGCGGAGGCACATGGGACACTCTTTTACCGCAAACATCGTGCGAGGACAGGGCGATCGATGACCGAGGAGACATACCAGGCACAGGAGGCACATGAGAGATTGTCAGGCACACCTAGTACTTGTCTGTATTTATTTTGTTTTAGTACTGTAGTTTGTACGTTTTTCCTGACATTGTTATTACATTTTAGATTTACGTGATGTTTGTCATCCTATTACTATATTTTTGGTGTGTCTGTTATTTTATAATTCATCTGCGAACAAATGCATAATGCATTTAAAAAAACTTTTTCTGAAACACTTCGGAGATGTATCTCCAGAAAATTCCTGTAAATGCATCTCCTGACAAATTCAAATGAAAATGGTCTATGAGAGATGTGTTGTAACCGTTTAAAGTTTAAATTGCTTCAGAGATATATCTCCAGAATATTATTAAGACATGGGACGCGTCCGGAGATATATCTCTGAAATCTTTGGGCATTTGTGAAAAATCACACGGTGGGAAAGAAACTTAAGGGGTGGGATAAAAAATTCTCTTAGTTTATGGGGTCTATTTATTTTAGAACTTATTTATCTTTAAAATTTTAGGCCCCATATATTTTTAGGGCCTTGAAAATTAGGCCTTAGCCCCCCCTAATTTGACAATTCTAGTAGTTACGACAACGACCCTACACAATCAAAGTAAAGCATTGGAGAAAGAGAATAGGGACGGAGCAAACAAACAGACGAAAGAGATATACGTAAGTTCTCCATAGGAACAAAACATGATAAAATGAAAAGACTAAAAAGATGTGATATGTTACTTGTGATATAAAGGATGATCTCTTATAGACTTTGTGTATATCCTTAGCATATCAAAATTCTCATTGTGAAATGAGAAATCACAGCTCCGTAGATAAAGACGCGCATTCGTGCATAAACAACTTAGATGATTCCTGTTAAGTACAACAGATGTGAGGGGTGCTAATAGTTTCCCCTTGCATAACCGACTTTCGAATTTGATATTGGTTGCGATGACCATATCCTATCCTTTTGATTTAGGGATTTTATCGATATTTTCTTTTTTTCCACTTTAGGAATAAATAAAGTTTAGTAGCGACTCTTTTCCATCTATGTCGTAAACGTGCGATTGCATTTCGCGAAGTGATTCTCATTTGCCGAAATACGACATCCATTAATTGAACTAATGAACCATTAACCATATATATATATATATATATATATATATATATATATATATATATATATATATATATATATATATATATATATATATATATATATATATATATATATATATATATATATATATATATATATATATATATATATATATTTCAAAATATTAGTTTTACCTTCAAGGTTACCGACAATTTCTTTTTTACTATTAAAGTAAGTAATAATGATTATGGGCTAAGGGTATCTAGAAAGATTCTGCGGACATAATCAATATTTAATGGATAAAAAAAGTATTAAATATTTATGAGCAAGGCAGTTGGCTCTGGCTGGACATAATCAATATCAATATTTAATAAATAAAAGTATTAAATATTTATGAGCAAGGCAGTTGGCTTTGGCTGGACTCGTTCATATTTAATATATATATTGACTAATCCTCATGTCCATAAAAGTATATTGAGTTCCATTTGTTAAACACAAACACATTACGTTACCATAAATGGAAGATCAACCTAGTAACAAGTTTCTTCACATTGCTGTTTTTCCATGGCTTGCTTTTGGACATATTAGTCCTTTTTTCGAGCTTTCTAAACTCATTGCTCAAAAGGGTCACACTATTTCATTCATTTCCACACCTAGGAACATCAAACGCCTCCCTCCACTTCCTCCTAATTTACAACCTTTCATCAATTTTGTACAACTCCCACTTCCACATATAAATCAACTTCCCCAAAATGCAGAAGCCACTATGGACATCCCACAACATATTGTTCCATATCTCAAGAAAGCATTTGATGGTCTTCAACAACCTTTGACTCTATTTTTGGAAAAGTCCACTCCTGATTGCGTCATATATGACTTTGTACCTTATTGGTTTCCATCAATAACATCAAACCTTGGCATCTTAAGCATCTATTTCTCAATTTTTAATGCATCTTTTCTAGAGGAACTCTTAGTTAATAAGTCATATGATGAAGACAATGTTATTTCCGATGTCCACTTTGAACAAAATGAATCTGGTGTTTCAGATATGTTTAGGATGGAAAAAACCTTTTTTGGTGCTGATTTTATTGCTGTAAGAAGTTGCATGGAGATTGAAGGTAAGTCTATAGAATCCATTGAAAATCAATGCAAGAAAAAAGTGATTCCAGTTGGATTATTGCCACCCTCACTAGAATTCAGTGAAGATAAAGAGGATGAAAATTGGGATAGTATCCAAAAGTGGTTGGATAAACAGGAAAAAAAGTCGGTGGTTTATGTTGCATTTGGAAGTGAAGTGATATTAAGTGATGATGAATTTACTGAGATTGCTAAAGGATTGGAATCATCTAGTTTTCCCTTTCTTTGGATTTTGAAGAACCAAGATAAATATGATTGGGTTGTTGAAAATGATTCAAATAAGGGAATGATTTGGAGTAATTGGGCGCCACAGTTGAGAATCTTATCGCATGAGTCAATTGGAGGGTTCTTGACACATTGTGGTTGGAGTTCAGTGATTGAGAGTCTTCAAGTTGGATGTCCAATCATTGTGTTACCTTTCCAAAATGATCAAGGTATAAATGCTAGACTTATGGAAGAAAAAAAGGTTGGTGTAGAAGTAGAGAGAAATGATGGAAAATTAAATAGAGATTCAGTGGCTAAGGCATTGAGATTAGTGATGTTAAAGGAAGAAGGAAAGAGTTATAGAAGTAAATCTGAAGAAGATATGGGCAAGATAGTTGGAGACAAAGAGCTTCACCAAAAATATATAGATGAATTTGTTGATTATGTTGAGCTCAATGTCCCGGCCTCTAGGCATTAGCACTTAAGGTTCCTTTGCTCTTTCTTTGTCTTAAACATTACCTATGACAGAATCATAGGCATAACAAATATTGGTTTGTTTTATGTTTTTGCATTAAGCTCTTGTAATGTAAGCTATTATATTCAGAAAAATTAATGTGTTACACGCAAAGGAACAATCCTAAGTATGTTAAGTTTATTTAAATCATCTATAATTGACTTGTGGCGATGGGAAAACCCGTTTAGTAATCCATTGTAACGGTCTAAATAGTATTGCCCTTTTCTTGCGCCAAAACCAAATTGCAGCATTGTATTGCTCATTGCGAACCTTTCGCGTGGCTGCTTTCCAGTCAAATTTCTCCATCTCATCACGGGCAGCTTTTCCTATGGTTTCTCTCAACTCTTTGTCGACCAAAAGAGGTTTCAATTTACTCAAGCAATCTTCAAGATCGCCTGGATTGTAGAGATAGCCAGTTTTACCTTCTTGATCTGCAGGGATTATATCGGGAATGCCTCCAGCGCGTGCGCCCACCACAGGTATCCCCGAAGACATGGCTTCCAAAACAACGAATCCAAGTGTCTCGGACTCTGAAGGCATGACGAATACATCTCCACTAGCATATGCTTGAGAGAGTTCTTCGCCTCCTAACATTCCGGTGAATACTGCAGGCATTCCTTCAAACAATTTTTCTAGCTCCACCCTAATAGTTAAGAACTCATAGATATCGATCAGTTAAAAGCCATAGTATACAAATGGAAGAGATATTAAAGTCGTGACGTGTTGTATTATAATAAGTCACCTATATGGTCCATCTCCAACGAAAGCAATTCGAGCTTCAGGAAGTTTATCCATGAGTCTACAAAACCATATGGTTCGGGTTTGTCAAAGGAAAGGTAAAGATATTCAAGTTCCTTCGATCGATAAGAAAGTAACAACCTCAAGTTAAGGGAATTGTAAGATAAAGTTCTCTACCCTTTTAGAAAATCTAAACTCTTTTCTACTCCAAGCCGTCCAACATGAACTATCAAGGGTTTCTCGGGTTCACCATTGCTGTAAAAATAAGACGAAAACCAATCATTACCAAAATTTGTAAATAACAGGAAAATATGACTAAAGGTTCAAACCTTAGCCTTAATCGCATTTCATGCGAACGGTATCGAGGATGAAAACTTTCAGAATCAACACCTTTGTTCCAAAGACGAATCTTGTTAGCTGGATATCAACAAGAGAAACAGATCAGTCTCTAAAACATTCTGCATTGACGAAAAGCATGCTGAGAATTGTGTAATTTAGACTATGTCACCAACTAAGCGCTGGATAAGGGGTTTCTATGTACACCTGCGGTCACTCTTGCCGCTTGAAGATCCCTTGCAATGGCAACAGATGGCACCAGAGTCAGGTCAGCGGCTCGGTGAAGAAACTCTACATGAAACATCAAAATTTATGTTATGCTCATAAATACGTAGTCGAAATATGAAAAAGCAGGTAAGTATACATACTTATGACCCACCACATAGGTATCACCAGCCAACTAAATGTATATCGTGGAATGTACCTGGAGACACAATAAGATTATACATAAACCATTAGAATAGCGATCCGTTTATAAGTAAAAAGAAACAAAAAAAAATGCAAACAGTGAACACGATAATTGCGTTTAAATACGACACGAGCAATACATGATTTAATATAGACCAGATCAGACATCATATTATCGTATTAGAACAATCGTAAACAAAAGAGCTATGCAATCTAAAATGGTGAATATGTTTAGAAAATTTGAAATCGGACTGAAACTTACACTGGTATATGGGTATGATAAGACATGACAATTGGAACAGACAAAAGTTTAGCAATGATAAGAGCACCAAAAACCTGAAAATATGGTAGTATCAGACACGTCTCCGTTATCCTTATTGACACCAAAGTTTAATAAATACGGAAATATAAGAATTGCAGACTAACCATTATGCCTGGTGATGATGCATGTATTATGTCAGGCTTAAACCGAGCTACCTCTGAAATTATCCTTGGACTAAGCGCCAAAGAGAGGGGTACGTTCTGATACCATGGGAGCGGAAAGCTGAATTTCCGATTTTAGTTTGGGAAATGATAAGTATTAGTGTAAAATATAGTACCGATGGTTTTCCGAAAATACATGAATAGGCAAACCAAATCTTTTGATTATGGTAATTAAGAGATATGTGTTAAGAAACTAAAACAGAACCTCCAAGATCCTATTACTTTGGCTCCGTAAAATTCCCGGGGCACTCCTTTATGTGTTGTCACAACCATCACCTATAACAAACAAATAAACACAAGTAGTTAGAATGCAATGTAAAAGAAAAAATATGATAAACAACATGATACTTCGATACAAAACAAGTAGAAAAGTTACCTCATCTCCCATTTCACGAAGGCATTTGATAAAATTCTGAAACCGGTTTTTGTATCCTGAGACATATCTGCAAAAAGATATGGCCGAGAACAATATTCTGTTAAAAATGAAGATACATATCTTTTTTTCTTGTATAACTTGCATGACACATCTTTCGAAGAATGACATATGAGTAATGCCAATTTCAGTTTGATCTCATTTGGATTGCAATACAGACAGAAACTAGAAAAATAGGTAGATTAACTACTCAATGGCAAAGGAAGATTACAATCAAGAAAGCACAAACACTTCAAAATAATACTCCTAGGATCATAGCTACATTGATCAACTTTCCTGTATTTATTACTCGTATTTATTGAACTTCTATATAACTTAGACGTTACAATTAACAATAATTAGGTAAGAACACAAGTTGCCACTTCCAAAGCATAAATATATATTATAAAAACAACAACCAAGCTTATCCCACTAAGTGGTATCAGCTATATCGATCAACTTTTCCCGTAATATTCTATCCAAGACCATGATTTTATTCAAATCGTTAATATCGAGATCTTTCTTAATAATTTCTCTTATAGCCTTTTTAGGTCTTTCTCTATCTCTAATTGTTCGACTTTTTTCCATCTGATCTACTCTCCTTACCAAGAAATCTACCGATCTTCTCTCTACATGTCCAAACTACCTAAGTCTATTTTCCATCATTTTTCGACAATAGATGTTATACCCCAACACTCTCTAATATTGTCATTTCTTATTTTATCCTGTCTAGTCTTACCACACATCTAATGCAACACCATCATCTCTACTACACTTATTTTATTCTCGTGTTGATTCTTAACTGAATAACATCTCATAAGAGGTTAACAACCATTGATGCTCACCTTCCAAATCAATTATGTGTTTTGATTATCTATCCATGTGCATCATAGTAGGATATTGTCCTATAATTTTAAAATTTGCCATATCTCTATGTGCATTGTGACATATTAATGCATTGCGTTTGGTTGTGCCGTGTCAAAAATTGATTTTGAAATTATTCTAGCTAAAACAATTGCACTGAGGTTTCAATTTCATCAGCAAACACAGATAGAACATTCAACAAAGCATTAGATAATATCAGAATGCAAAAATGAAGAACAAAGCAAAAACAAAAGGGGGCTTACGCAAATGGAGAAGGCTCAACAAAGAGAGCAATTCTCCGCGGCTTTGAATTCCTCTGATTTTCAGAGTCAACCAAACTAGAAGAACTACCCTCTTCCTTACCCTCTTCATCATGAGAATCAACCTCTGTTTCATCCATGTTTGCAGCTTCAAGCACCAAACTTTTTCTACTCTTAACAGTTTTTCGCCCTTGAAAAGAGCAAAATTGAGTTTTTCTACAAGAAAGAGTAATGGGTTTTGGTCGTAATGATGAAAAACGTTGAAATGTAAGAGAGGTAATAGTAGAAGGGTGTGAAGAAGAAGATGAAGATGAAGGAAGAGAAGGGTTTATAGAGAGAGCAGTAGTGTTCATATTCACAAGGAATTTGGATAGAATCAAATGGATTATAGAGATTATTAGCGATAGAGAATCCAACGAAGTGGGAAAGGACAGTGCGAATGAATATGGGCGTTTATTGGGGCGGATTCTTTTGGAATATGCGTTTTCCTCGTTTTTTATTGTGTTAATCATTTTTGCCCATTGAATGATAGAAGAAGGATAAGTAGTTATGAAAAAGAGGGAAACAAATTCTTAATTATAAAGCATTTTACAATTTTAATTATGTTATGAAATTAACAAAAACAATAGAAGAGAGAAAAAATAATAATATGTATTGTATTATTTTTATTATTAGTGTCACTTTTGAATACAATATACGTCATATTTATATTACATCTGTCATGAATGAAAAATCAATATGAATCTACTCATTTATAAATATCTACAATAATGTTATTTATAATATTTATTTTTGGATGTCTATTAAGAATATGTTTCTTTAAAACTTTAATAGTAAAAATTTAGTGAGAAAAATTTTAGTGAAGGGAAAAAAATTACAACATTTTTGATGAGGGAACTACCTCGATACTAATCAATACATTATTACAAATAAGGAAGGAAATTATTTGGGATGTTCATTTAGGATATATCTCATTAAAACCTCACTAGAAAAAACTTAGTGGAAAAAAAATCTAGTGAAGAAAAAATAGTACAATATACTTTTAGGATAAATTCATTTCTCCCCTTCAGTTGAATGATCATTTCTTTGATGATGAAGATCAATCTTCCGTATTAGTTGGTTAAAAGTTCTACTTGTGAGTGTTTTTGAGAAAAGGTATAGAAAATTATCACAAGAACAAAGTCGTCGGATGTTTATATCACCACTTTTCTGAAGATCATGGGTGAAAATAAACTTAAGAGAAATATGTTTTGTTTGGTCTCTTTTAATGTAATCATCTTTTAATTGAGTGATGCATGCATATTGTCTATGTCGCAACTGCGAAAAACACCTGGCGGAAAACAGAAGAGTCGCCACCTTTCATTATTTATCCCATAGAGAGGGAAAAGAAACGATCGGAAAAACCTGACGAAAAGGGAAAAGACAAGGTCATCGCAACCAATTCCTGGATTCGGGAGTCGGTT